TGTTGATGATATAATTCTAATCTCAGCCAGTTCTGTTAGAATTAGTCTTTTCCACCTGTCATAATTTTTGCACCCTTTCCCTAGTTACACTTTTCTACCCGTAAAGTCTAGGGCTGTGACTTTAAGTGAAAGGGGCTATTTTTAATAAGTGCTTAATCACCTGGAGTAATGTTAGTGAGTCAGAGCTACTTGGATTAAAAAAAACCAATCAATATTTAAAGAAGGGAGTTCAAAGGGAAAAGTTTATAATTTCCCTCCAAACTCCTACAATTCCTTTACCTGAATTAATTAATGTTGACAGTAATTTTCTTTATCTTCTCTTATACTGGTGTGTGTGTATAAAATGGGGCCATGTGTTACTGTTTAAGTTAGACACAGGTTTGACTCTGTAGTAAAGACCCAAAATAACAGTGACACACACAACAGAGAAGTGTTATTTCTCACTCAGGGAACAGTCCAGTTATAAGCAATCTAGGCGATAGGGACTTGCTACAGTGTCAGGGACCCAGGCTCCTTCTAGCATGTGCTGTCATCCCTAGGTATCGTACTCATTTATAACATTACCATCATTTCTTCACTCCAACCCAAGGAAGGAATGAAACTCAAAGGGCATTTCCCTTTCTAAAGAGCACAGCCCAGAAGTTGCACACATCACATCTGCTCTCATCCCCGTTTGTCATAATTTAATCACAAACCACACCTCCCTGCACAGGAGGCTAGGGAAAAACTGTCAGTGGTAGAGGGGTCCAGACAACTCCCAGGCTGCTTCTCCAGGGTTCAAAATCTCAGCATCCCAAGCATGGGTGTTGTTGCTGTTCATACCAGATCATATGAGCAGAGGCTAAACCTGGGTGACTGTGAGTTCTGTGGTTAGAGAGTGACACAAAAAGGGCAGAAACAGGAAAGGGGAAGGTTGATTGACTAAACTAAGATTTAAAGTTTTAGAACAGTAGTAAATACCCTATGCAAGTTAGAAGGCACATGGTGTACTGTGAAAATGATTTGCAACATATGTAATAGGCAAATGCTTAATAATGTTAATATGTTAACAGCTTTTACAAATCTTTAAGAAATAAACAAGTGCTTAAATTTAAAATGGGAAAAGGATGTCAGTGGAAATTCAGGAAAGGAGAAATACAATAAGCAAATAACTGCATTAAAAATAAACACTCTAGGGCTGGCCGAGTGGCGCGATGGTTAAGAACTCGCTTGGGATGCCAGAGGGCCCCGGTTCGGATCCCACATATGAGGGCCAGTGACACTGCCCTCTACAGCTAAGATGCTGAACAACAGCTCAACCTGGAGCTGGGCTGCCGTGAGTCGCTGGCGACGGCGTGGGCTGCAGTCCCTGTGGCAGTGGATTGCCATGGGCTACCGTGTGTGGCCAGCAGCCAGCGTGAGCGGCCAGCAGCCGCAGTGAGCGGCCGTCCAGAAGCCGGCGACTGATCTGCCTCGCCAGAGAAGAGGGCAATGATGGTGCCAACTTGGGCCAGTGAAGCAACATCCTCCACAACTAGACTGAAGAACAAAAAAACGACAGCAACTTGTCTGTTCCCCTTTCCCCAATTCCCCAGCACTGTTCCCATCCCCCAATTCCCCAATTAAAAAAAAAATCTTAAAAAAAAAAATAAACACTCTAAGCACTCGATATATATATATATATTTTTAAAATATAAGTTAACCAATGATGGGATACTATTTATCACATAGACAAAGACATTATTTGTGTTGAAACTATATGTATTGAGAGTTCTGGGCTAGGAGGAGAGAGTGAGTTTTTTGGGCATTCTCATGCTTTGTTGGTTGGTATATAATAGAAACACCCTTTTGGGAGGGCCATTTGGCAATATGATTCGAAAACCTTTTAAGAAGTACATAATCTGACTCAGAAATTCTACCTTACAAATGTGTCCTAAGGAAAATAAATATGTCCTCTAATATTAAGGAGACTCAACACAGAATTCTTTATATAATATGTAAAATATATAATTAAAAAAAAGATTTTATTGGGGGATTGGAGGAGGGAAACAGCATCAGGGAATCGGGGAAGGGGAACAGACAACTTGCTGTCCTTTTGCTCTTCAGTCTAGTTGTGGAGGACATCACTTCACTGGCCCATGTTGGTATGATCATTGTGCTCTTCCCGACTGAGGCAGATTGGTCGCGGCCACTGGACGGCCGCTCATGGCGGCTCTTGGCAGCTCACCCTGGCTGCTGGCCACTCAGCAGTCGCCGGCGACTTATAGCAGCCCAACTCCAGGTCAAGCTGTTGTTCACCATCTTAGCTGTAGAGGGCGCAGCATCACTGGCCCTAATGTGGGATCTGAACCGGAGCCCTGCTGCTCAGAGCTGACGTCCCAAGCCAACTCTTAACCAATGTGCCACTCGGCCGGCCCTAAAATATATAATTTTTTATATAACATATATAATTATATGTAAAAACCCGGAAGCAATGTAAATACCTCACAATAGGGGATTGGATATGTAATTTAATGTTTCCATTTAATGGACTACTGTGAAGCAATTAGTAATTTTGTAAAGTGTATTTATCTTGAAAAGGAAAAATGGTTATGATGTATTTTAAAATAGGAAGTTATAAAAAGTATGTACAGCTTTATAAAAATATCATCATGAGTCATTTAGGGTGCATTGAGTTACAAGTAATAGAAAACAATTTAAACTGACTTCAG